CGGGGAGTAACGCGTTCACCACCACACCATGCGGGTCTTTTGTTTCGCACGTCTCTCAGCTATTTCTATCGATCTTTTTGCCACAGCAATCACCCGTCAGCGGGGTTGATCTGGGGAGCGCATATCGGCATAGAACCCAGTTAAGCTATGGCTGTAGTTGAAATCACAATGTTTAACGTTTTGTTTTCTGCCTTCTATAATTTTCATGGCAGGTTACTAAGCGAAATACAACCACAACGTTGCTGAGATATTTGCAAAACTCTGGACCGCAGGTGTCTATGGTGGGGAACGAACGCGCTATTATCCTTTCCGGGGAGTAACGCGTTCACCACCACACCATGCGGGTCTTTTGTTTCGCACGTCTCTCAGCTATTTCTATCGATCTTTTTGCCACAGCAATCACCCGTCAGCGGGGTTGATCTGGGGAGCGCATATCGGCATAGAACCCAGTTAAGCTATGGCTGTAGTTGAAATCACAATGTTTAACGTTTTGTTTTCTGCCTTCTATAATTTTCATGGCAGGTTACTAAGCGAAATACTCCCCGGAAAGGATAATAGCGCGTTCGTTCCCCACCATAGACACCTGCGGTCCAGAGTTTTGCAAATATCTCAGCAACGTTGTGGTTGTATTTCGCTTAGTAACCTGCCATGAAAATTATAGAAGGCAGAAAACAAAACGTTAAACTATTTCTATAATTAAATGGAATGTAAACTGCGCTTTTGTTAAGATTAGGTAGCACACAGCCTATGAATTGGTACTTTGTGAAAAACAGAGTCGTAGGGCCAGCAACCGAGTGTCGCGTATCTTCTCCACATTTCTTAAGTGTTCATTTAGGTTTAGTCTCGTCTTTCTCACCTACACTACCGGACCATTTCCTATGTTAGCTCCCTATTTCTGCTGTGCCGGTTTGGCACATACATTTTGTATTTACGAAGTGTATTCATGCACACGTGTGTAGGTGCGCTCTAGTTTATGCAGATTGTATTCTACGAATCAGTTCGGCAAAAGCCCGCAATCAAGTGACAGGGAACTATGTTATGTTTCACACAATATTCTGCTATCAAAAAATAGTAGTCAATAAATCAAAATTGACGAACTTAAAAGTAAAAGAAACGGGCTCCACTCCCCTGACTCCGAAAGAGCCCCGAATTCGGAAGAGTTGGGTAGGACGAGTACGGAGAGGCTGCTAAAATCTTAGGGCGAAAGGAAGCTGCTTAAATCGCAAAGAACTATGGTGACGATCTGTACCTACAATGGACACACACTTCCCTCCGAGTCCTCGATAGAAGACTTGCTCATGCAAGCAAGAAGGATGAAGTACGACGGCATCGACCTTGCTGAGACGAGACCAAGCCACCCATTCAGCGCCATCAATGACACCGGAGAAGAACTGTTCCTCGGAACATGCGACAGTAGAGGAGTCGGCAGCGTCGGCGTTCTCGTTAACACGAGTTTGTCCATGAACATCGATTCATTTGAACAACAACAACCCAAATCGGACGTTTACTATTAAAGAAATGTGGATCAATACCGGCTGTGACAATCTTCATCGTTTTCGCGTCGACATCAAACTACGACGAAGATGAAGTTCTAGCCTTCTATATTAACTTGGAGAAGTTCCCCAGAGAAGACCCTACGTTTTTCAAGGTCATCAATTGAGATTTTAACGCTAAGATTGGACCAAGAAGAACGTCTGAAGAATGTCACATTGGGATCGACGGATTAGAATGAAATGAACAACGTGAGCAGTTGTCTGAGTTTATTATCACGAACAAGACCATCCACAGTAACTCGCAATTCCGGAAGACCCACGGTCAAAGCTGGACGTGGAAGCACCATAACTAAATAGACCATATCATAGTAAATCGACTGTTTTGTTTTACTGATGTCGCTGTTGTTCCAAAATTCTACACGGGGAAGATGCCGTTGTCGATAACATCGACGAGGAATACGATCGGCTCATTCAACATCTTCATCGAAAGCCACCAAGAGACGTTGGTCTCCAGTAACACCCGAGCTGATACGCCAGTGTGGAATCGCACGAGCTGCAGGCAACCGTTGAACTAACGCAGTAACTTGCAAAACAATGCTAACAGCCGATAAAAGGTCTTAAAAATAAAAGCGCAGTAGTTATCGTCGAAGCTGCAGAGGCTGGAAAGAGCATTCGCAAAGCCCACCAAAGCTTTGCCAATTACAAGACTAAGATAACTGCACTCCGACGCCCAGACGAAACAGTTGTAGCGTCCAGAAAAGCAGTGGAGGAAATCGTTCACGAATACTACTGAGGTCTCTTCGATAGCCATGTCCACCTTCCGTTATATGAAATAAGGGAGGATGGATATGTCGTACTAGCAGTTCTCCCTTCCGAAATCCTAGTCCTTGTTGCTCAAAAATCGAGCTGCACCAGGTCCCGACAGGATAAGACCAGAACACCTGAAGAACCCTCCGCCAGTCCTCGTGAAAACACTGGCTCGGATCGATATCACCATTCTACAACGATGTTAACATCGGCGTCAAAACAGAGGTTAGGCATGGCGATACCGTCTCTCCAAAATCATTTAGCGCCATCTTCGAGAACGTCATGCGAACATTGGAATAGGATAACATGGGAGCGAATACCGATGGTCGGCAATTACATCATCTTCGCTCTGCTGATTACCTCGTCCTTACAACACCAAACATTAGGCAAGCGAAACGTATGCTTGCCGACTTTGATAAAACCTGTGTTAAGATTGCTTTCGACTAAATATCACAAAAACCATGTTCATGAAGAACAGATTGGTTTCGCATGCCCAATTCATGCTCACCGGTAAGAATATCTCAGAATGCTCCAGTTATGTCTATCTAGGTCAGAAAGTCAACATGATGAATGACTTAGCCCCATAGTAGAACAGAAAGGAACGAGTGGCTTGAGGAGCTTTTAGGAGCTGCCCACCTTTTCGACTCCACGATATTGCCTGCTTTAACGCATGCGTCAGAAACCTGGTCGCTGTTGAGCAGGATGAGGGATCACTTAGCATTATTGAACGCGCAGTCGTAAGAACGATGCTAGGAGCATTCCGTATCACATAAATAAGAGAAGGGATCTGAAGCTCCGACCTGCGTCTACGATGAGAAATCAAAGATGGCGTTCTGTACGCCAAACAGTCGAAGATGAGATGGGCCGTACGCATAATGCGTATGAACGACAACCGATGGACAAAAGCCGTTAGTGAGTGGGTTCCTCAGAATGTTAAACGCATTGCATGAAGACCACCGACCCGATCGTCGAGGTTCTTCATGAAGAGCTTAGACGAAAGATATGATGCTCGGCGAGTCCCTAGAGCGAGCTGAACCCACTGGGCCACTCTTGCACGCGACAGGGAAAAATGGAAGATTTACTGGCGCTCGCTCGAGTTACTCGACGATCAACGGGACTACAGGTGACATAGGTGATATTGGACAAACAACTATTCTTGATCATTTGATTGCTAGCCAAGGTCTGTTGTTGCAATTCGTTTTAAGGTGTTCGCCTTCAAGCAAAAAATTTCAAGATGATCTCTACCGGCAGAATAAAAGTCAACCTGTGCATCAAGGCAAACGTGTCGATCCAGCTGTCCAGCCCCTAACTCAAACTATCGAAATAGATGAACAACGAACGCTGTTGAGATATGTGTAAGATCCATCACTCTCGTGTGGTAGAAATGTCGAGTTGCAAGAGGAAACTGGAATAAATTCCAACTGTGAGCGATTTTACATTTGCTCTGAGGCATATGAATTCACTGAATCAAAAATTTTGTATTGAAATGGCTGAGAAGTGCTTGAAGCTGGTTGGATTCTGTACATAGGCGCGTTCTACGGGAGTTCTTATGAGTGTAGCTAGGTTTCTTAAGCATAGACCGTTGAGTCACATTACAGGGTGCTGTCGTCAGGAATAGCGTGCGAGTACAATGGGAAAAGTGTGATGCTCTTCGCTTTCTTTGCTAGAGCGGAACGAATTTGATACTGCAATGGAGAAAGCTGAGATTTCGTCGGTGAGAGCAGGGGTCACATGACGACTTGCTATCGTGTTGCTCTGAAATAGGTGATGTCTTCGAATCGCTAGCCAGTATACAAAATTGCAATGGTCTCACATGAGCTTAGCAGTGAGGCAAGATACTATTCATGTCGAGGTATAAAAAGAATAGTTTTGAAAATATGTAACAGGTGATATAGCTGACAATTCAATTTGGCTCAAGTTGTAGATCCCGAAGGGCTTCGGTTTCCCACACACTTGCCTTATAATCATTCACTATGTTACCGATCTTGTGTCTCCAGATTTCTCACGTTGGTTTTTTAAAGAATCCTTTTTGAGTGTTCGTTCGATGCATTCTAACCCAAATAGTGACGTCATCCATACATAGTGAACGTTTTAAGTGGGACACTATCGTTGTCTAAGCATACTGACCCAGTAATTTCGTCCCGGAATTGTTCGTTCGACATTCCTGCGGTTCGTGATATCCGACAGTGTCAAGGAATCTTAACGACTGCGACATTGCCTCTTGAGATCGTGAACAGGTGTCGCCGGCAAAAAAACCTGCAACCAATGTCCTCAACGTCAGTAAAATTCATGCTAAGCATTGAACTCACCGAGTTTTGCGTGGTTGTTAACTGGATTCTGATTCCAGTGAGTGAGAGCCCACTGAATTGCAACGATCTCCTGAACCGTGTCCGGTAGAACGTTCTTGCAATCGACATCATGTAGTGGAAATGCTCCACCGATGACAAACTGAAGACAGAATCTTAAGAAGATGAAAGAGCCGATAAAATCAAATTTTTAAATCAAATCCATGTGTCTGAGCTCACAGAAACGTGAAAGCTGTACACTAATTAATGGCTCTGTGATGTATAAATAGCAAAGATTGATGTACTCTTTAATATCCAATTCATATTAAATCTTTCCTTTTTAACAGTAATGACAATCAAGAGACAGTCTTACTCCTAAGCATCAATTTTATAAGTAACTTCCAAGTCCGACTTTCTATTAATCTCGGCATTGATTGAATAATTTTATAAGCTTAAGTTTTTAAGTTTAAGTTTTTTTTTTATAGTTTTACAAGTTATGATTTGATGATTTAGTACTTTCCAAAACGAAATAGTGTTTTGGAAAATGGTCCCACAGATCTTAAGAAAGTAGCAGCACCAAAACATTTAGTTAAAAAAATAGTAATAAAAATAAGCAAATGACAATATCAAGGAAGCCGGTTTTTTGGAGATAAATATAAAGCTCTCGGGTTCATTCCCTGATGGATGGGCTATGCATTCGACTTCACTAAGCATCGTTGGAGGTCATTGAATACTTATCTGGCCTTTACAATGATTCGCCATGGACTACCGATGTATCGAGCCAGTGCTGCTATCCTTCCAGACAAATCTGGGGCTGATTTGGCGACTCCGGTGGGAAGGAAGGCTTGGTGGGCCAGGACCACATGAATCAATCCCATGTGTGTTGCAGGGCGCCTCGGACCACTGCGCGCCACACGCGTCCACGGTTTTTGGGATGCAATAAGATATTATTCACATTTTAACGTATTATTTACTGCCAATTCCTTTTAACGGCAGGGTATACATTGTGAAATATAACTTCAATGATGCTGAGATATCTGCAAAACTCCGGACCACAGGTGTATGCGGTGGGGAACGAACACGCGCTGTTGTCCTTACCGGGGAGCAGCGCACTTCACCACCACACCATCCGGGTCCTTCAATTTGCCTGTCTCTCAGCTAGTTCTATCGATCTTTTGCCATCAGCAATCACCTGTCAACGGGATTGATCTGGGAGCCCAAATCGGCAACGAACCCAGTTAAGCTGAGGCCGCAGTTATAATCACAATTTAACGTGATCACCGCATACACCTGCGGTCCGGAGTTTTGCAAATATCTCAGCATCATTGAAGTTATATTTCACAATGTATACCCTGCCGTTAAAAAGAATAGGCAGTAAATAATACGCTAAATTGTGATTATAACTGCGGCCTCAGTTTATCTAGGTTTGTTGCCGATTTGGGTCCCCCAGATCAATCCCGTTGACAGGTGATTGCTGATGGCAAAAAATCGATAGGACTAGCTGAGAGATAGGCAAAACGAAGGACCCGGATAGTGTGGTGGTGAAGTGTGCTGCTCCCAGGTAAGGACAACAGCGCGTGTTCGTTCTCCACCGCATACACCTGCGGTCCGGAGTTTTGCAAATATCTCAGCAACATTGAAGTTATTATTCACATTATTTGTGCTCCCAAAGCATTTCTCTCAACCGATTATTGTTTACAGCACCGATAAAGCAAAAACGTGGATGGTAGAAAGGCAATGCGAGGGCCTGTATTGGCAAGGGCTGTGGAAAATCATTTCCCGACAATCTGTTTCCTTGTTTCTACACGACGATAGCGTTCTTGGTATCTGCACTTCAGAAGGTTACGCTGAACTTCGCTTGTTGTCTTTTCTCTCACTTGATTCTTTTCAAACCGCGAAGGGGCCCATTATGAAGAACATTTTTCATCTACTTCAGATATAAAAATCACGGTTTCTTTCTGAAAAAGAATCATGGAAGAGGTGAATGGTGATTTCACTTTAATACGGAAAGGCTGATAAAATCTCAGCGCCGATGGAAGCTGCCTGGATCGCGAAGAACAAAGATCTGTACCTCCAATGCCTATATCCGTTCTTGAAAGTAGATAAATGGGAGTCTCTACACCAAAGTGATGGCCGAGATCCCTATTGCATTGATGTCGATTGGATTCGCGCGATGCAGTAGAAATCAGGTTCCGTGAGAATTGCATCATTAACTGTCGAAGGAATAGCGGAATGATTACCGCTGTAGTCGCAGGGTACAGAATGTTTATGTGCTTGTTAAAGGCGACAGTTTTTATGGTCTTCTTTCGTTGCTTTGTTTTCTATGTAGTTCTTTTTGAACCACTTCCACAACTACTCTATTTTCTAATGCAAGGTTTTCACCTTGGCCCTCGTTTTCAAAAGAATAGGTGTAACTCTGAGTTTGTCTCCAGCTATGGTGTTCAGGGGCGCGCGATGCGCACTGGTCGGAGACGCCCCGCAGTACATGGTATCCATCCTCGTACCCAAGGCTCACTAAACCTTCCATCCGCCCAAGGTCGGCAAATTGGTACCAAAATTGTCTGGGAGGACAGCAGCACTGGCTCGATGCATCAGTAGACCACACCGAGTCATTGTAAAGACCAGATAATCATTCAATCACCTTTAACGATCTTAATGAAGTCGAATGCATGGTGCATCCCCCAAGGATTTATCAAGGTCAGGAGGCCGAGAGCTTTTTCATCCTTTAATGGTGTTTATATTTTATCTTATGATAAAACTATTATTAAAATGACTCTAGTTAAGTCATCTCATTTCATTTTCATTGCAATATTTCTTTCGACTACTTCCACATCGAAGATATAGCGATATTCAAGGGGTAAGGAGAGAGAGGCGCATGCGATTTCTTTTAGTATGACTGTGGCGATCAAGAAAAAAGCACTGAAGTGTAAATTATAGAAACTTTTATTAGGATCAGTTTTAAAATGCTCAGTATTCAAAGAGAGATCGGCGGTGGAAATTTCACTACTTGCTGACTAAACAAACGCTTTATTTTGATACTAACTAGGTTCCGTGTAAGCGTGATAAGCAGTAAACGGTAAGGATGAATAGATTGTAGTTAATCCCTCAGTCGTTTAGCTCTCTTCCATGGTTGCTAAATGGTATTCTTGGGTGTCTAACTACCGCGAGCAGTGGTAGGTCTTCAGGATCTCGTAAACTAAGGGATTCAGCATAGACATTTCGAAGCCCAGCTAGAAGTAAAATACGTCTGCAATTATTACCGTCATTAAAAAAGTTTTTTCGCAACGTGTCATGTTTTCGTCCAATCAACAATGGTCGAAAAGGAGCGATAGTGGTGTAGACGACTATCTTGGGACTCTAAGGGAAAACTTTTACAGGGACAGAAAAGGGTACAAGTCAAAAAAATGTAGTTGAGTGTGAATAATTAGGTATAAACACGGAACATTTGAGTACCACATACAGTTTCAGTTCAAAATCTACTGCCGCAGCGACATTCGAAACGATTTTCCGTTTTCTTCAAGTGAGTTATGAAGGTATTAAGAAACCACCGATTTCGTTCATATAGTGAAAGCCTGGGAGGATAAAAAAAAGCACTTATTCTAATCTTAGACAAATTGCAAAAAAGGAATGAGAAAAGGAATGGAAAGACTAACCATGGAAGGTTCTGTTGTGATTTTACTCCCATTCATAGCAACCAAAGGGTTACGGTTTATGAAGTGTAAAGCGTTCGGTGCTGATCAATTCCTCAGTGTTGCGCCATTCACTCAATTGGATTAAGCATCGTAGAGGTAGCTGAATGCATATCTAGCCTACGTAATGACTTCCAGGTGATTCCGATGCCAGCGGTTATCTTCCCAGACAAGTCTGGTGCCGTTTTGCCATCTCCACATAGATGATGGTGTAGGTTAGTCCTAGGTGCTGAATCGAAGTAACAGCGATGCACATAGTATGGTACCTCTAATCATTGCGTTATTGCAGTGAATGCCAGAAAATGTGATGGGGTAACAAGGAATGGTGACTTTTGGAAGGTTCTTTGCAGTGCTTCTGTAATACGATTGGAGCCGGCTGAATACAGCTGTAGTTGACTGGAAGCATAGGTAGCGAAACTCAACAGAATTCAGCGCTTATTTTCAACCTGATATGCTTTTATTGCTAAAAATCCTGATATCGTGACGACTTTAGCAATCCCTAGAATATAGTGGGAACACCTTAGAGATCGAAACTCCACTACACCGTTTATATTTTGCTTCAATCACATTTGTGAAACTAACTGGGTGCAACTGTCGAAGCTTGTGCAGTTAGTCTGAAATTCTACTTCGTTTACATTTAAATTCATTGGTTGGAAGAATACTATGCTATTGCTTTTTCATTCCCAAACTTGATTATTGAAAACAAAGTGTGTCGGGTCCAGTCACCCATACGAGCGCGACTACAGCCATTATCCGGATGAATGAGATGCAAACAGGCCTAGATTCGGGCATATTGGATTGCTGAATCCCTTTCAGATTCTTAGTAGCGCACGACACGCATTTGTTAACGTGTTCGCGTTGCGCCATAATCGTTCAGCGCAAATGAATTGATAAGAATGGGAGAGAGAGAGGGGGAGACAGAGAGAGAAAGAGAGCGAAAGTTAAGAGAGCTATCCGACAAGCCAACCACAGATCGACATCTGCGATCAAAACTCTTTGCATAAGGCCATCTTTGGGAGAATAGATGAGCTTCTGGTTAATGGGGTCACTACCTTCGTCTTATGTCAACACTGCTCATAGTTCCATAGCCTCTTTCTTTTCTAATTTTTTTTCTGCATGACTGCGACACAGCTGCGTCCTTAGGGCTCTCAATGATTTATGCGAGAAAATGAAAAGTGGTTTTTTTTCTTTTGATAGATTGTATACCCTTCTGTAACATCACTCGCTCTGAAAAGAACGCAAATAGTTTCGCTGTCTAGCAAGTGTTCCTTAAGTGGGAAAATCATTGGAGCCACGCGGACGCGTCGCCATAGCTTTTGCATATGAGTCGTTCATTGGTTATTCCGCAAAAATTGTCGAAAGTAAAACTACCAGCGTAGATAATCTACCAAATAGAAGGTTATCACTGAGCAACCCTGAACCGGACATCATATCAGATATGTGCAAATAGCAATGCCAAGTATGTAAAAGCTATTTTGAATAGAACTACCTTGTTGTTATCTGGTTGGACCTTGAATGGATCGTAGACAGAGCAAAGCGACTGAACAGCATCCAGGCCGCCATAGAAAACGCCGGCAAAGGCGACGAAGAATGTTCGCCACATTTATCGCATCTGAAGACTTGACTAGAGAGCAGTTACAAATTGGTTACATAAACGATGCGAAGAGACGACAAGAGGCAAGGTAAACCATGACGGAAAATATACTGTATAGTGATTTTGTTCGTATTTTTTTGAGCAAACGCGAAGTGTTATTGTTATTGTGAGTTGGTATCAACTTGACCTTTCCAGGCTCTGAAGAAGGCGAAATTCGCCGAAACGTCAGCTTAATCGTGAACAAAGAACAATAACGCCTCGCGTTTGCTCAACAAAAATACGAACAAAATCACTTGATTAATGCCGAGGTTAATAGAAAGTCGGTCGTGGCAGATACTGTATAGTGCATCCATTTTAGGTTAACAATGTATTTCTAGTTTAGCGGCTGGATCTCTTAAGTGTTCTGTGAAGATAAATCTCTTACTAACCAGTAAGATTAAGTACAATGACAATGATATAGACTATAAGTATAGTTATGCCTAAATTACATCCATCCAAAAGTGAATAATCGCCTTTTTAAGAGAAACGCCTATCCTTTTTACATCATTTGGAAACCCAGGATAAAATGCTGAGAAGAAACGAGCTAAACAGAACTCGAGATGTTCTCATGTTTGCAAATAAAGTCACCATTTTCATTGTTGCGGCAGTAGTTTAGGACTAACTGTGTTCCTTCAAATGGCTTAGAATTTCGAAACATTTGGATGTGAACCAGTGGTGAAGTTTTTCCGGATTAGTCAGACACAGAAACATTTCATCGAATTATCGTGTTTCTGGCTCAATTTGTTACCACACTTGTTCTCATCTAAGAAAAAGATATTAAACTTAAGTAAGAGTTAGATATGAACCGAAAAAAGCGGAGATTGTCTGAAGAATACTGCAACAATAGCACCGTCACGATCTAATAACACGTTTATTCGCGCATTCGGCTGATGGAAATGGGAGTAACACACCGTGTCGATATACAGTGATGGATCACTTCGTGATACCGTCATGATACCCCTTTTTTCTGGCAAACCACTCCACAGACGCGATAGTCAGCTTTCTCTTACCTTCGATCACTTAGCGCTTGAGACAGTCATAACAGCTCCCGTTTCAAACTAGAGCTTGATTTACTCTCGATTCCTCGAATCCTGTCGCTTTCATTTACCCAATAGATATGCTCACCGACCCTTCGAGATCTATTTAAACACAACCAGTTCAGCTGACGAAACCCTACAAATGCTTACACTTCCCTTTCTTCCTTCATTGTCTGGACTGACGCGCCAAAGTAATGGTTTGAGTTGAGTGACATTCAGATGTGATACAATGGTTTGCTCCAGAGGTCTGTTCCACACCAAGTTTCTCGCCTAGACCACTGTATGTAAAATTAGAGCGTAGCAAACGAATAAAGGGCAACGTTGTTGTCATTGGACCGTCGTCTACTTATTTCAAAGACTAGCGAGGTTGTCTGGGTGTCCTTCAAAGGCTAAAAAAAGAACAAACGAAAGATTAATGCGGAATTTTCTGTCCAAATGCATTTAAGACATTAATATCAATTTCATCAATGGGTTTTTCTAAACTCGGCTGCGCTCACTAGACCACATTTTATTGTAGTTATATTAATGTGTCGTTTTGTTGTTCAGCAATCGCGAGGTTTTTAAACAGCATGCATTTACTTCCATAGAAAAACACAATACAATACAACACTAGCTGACGTTTCGGCAGCATCGCCTTCTTCAGAGCCGCTTTTTTCGNATTGTAGTTATATTAATGTGTCGTTTTGTTGTTCAGCAATCGCGAGGTTTTTAAACAGCATGCATTTACTTCCATAGAAAAACACAATACAATACAACACTAGCTGACGTTTCGGCAGCATCGCCTTCTTCAGAGCCGCTTTTTCGTGACTTCCAATGAGGAAGTTTAGAACAGCTGATTATAGTCACGTTGATCACGAAAAAAGCGGCTCTGAAGAAGGCGATGCTGCCGAAACGTCAGCTAGTGTTGTATTGTGTTTCTCTATGGAAGTAAATGTATGCTGTTTAAAAACCTCGCGATTGTTGAACAACAAAACGACGCATTCATATTCCAATGCAGAGGTTAATTGAAAGTCGATCCTGGGAACTATTACAAGATGTAGTTATATTATTATATTATATGCTATATTATATATTATATCGTAACTAATTCAAACTTATTATTAACTTATTACTAACTAACTAGCACATTACGCTTCCATGTGAATTCTGTGCGGTCGGTCTTCACGCGACATACTCAGTGGAAGACCCATAGAAAGCGGCTCTGAGGAAGGCGAAATCCCCCGAAACGTCAGCTTGTGCGTAAATAAAGAAACAAAATAGCACCTCGTGCTTGCTGAACAGAAGTAGAAAGATGTAACTAATTCAATTCATCCAAGTTTACGAAGTTGCCCACGTGTCGTAATAAAATATAGGCCATCTAGCGCGATTTTCTGTCACTTCTGTAGAAGGGGAATCCAGTACTCCAGCAGAAGGAGAAACGAGGATGTCTTCGGTGCGCTACAAATGGCGTGTTATATTCAGTGTTGCTTAGGCTGTCTTTTTAGAATAATGTTGAAAAATTTTCAGCCTGACAATTTGAATACTTAGCATGTCGCTAATATTCTAGACTGATAGAATTATTAATAGCTTCTAATCATTGCGAGCGCATTCTTTAGTTGAATTCGTTGAACGATGAACGAAAATCAATACCGTAACGATTCGAAAACTTTGATAAGCAGTTAGATCCTAAGGTTTTCAGGCGATCTTACAGCGGAGCACAACTGTAGCTACTGTATAATCCAGATCCGTACCTCTTCCGAAGAGCCAGAAGATTGAAAAACAGCTACCGTAAACGTTTTCTTGGTAATGAAAAGGATTGTTATTACGGAACCAAACTTTTTATATGTTTATTTCCTCGTGGAAAAAATATTTTCAAGGAGATCTTTTCGATGCACCACTCTTCTGATTGAAAAAAAGCGGATGGCTGAAAAATCCGCCAAGCCGGTCCAACAGTTAGGAGTCGTAGCTACAAGAAGCAAGCAAGCTGTGCGCGTTTGCCCTATATATTCACCTTTTTTCCTTTGGTTTCCTAACCCCACAGCATATCTTTTTACTAAATTTTAAAACTGACTCAGATAGATTTCGAAGGGTTTGACGAAAATGTTTGCTTTTGTTAGGAATATTTGTTACAAACTGAAGATTGCTCAACGGATGGGTACAGCGTGAAAAAGAAGTGAACATCGCACGATCAAGGGGAAATGGAGCAGATACGCGTATTACGAAGGGAAATCTCACACCTGGATAGACAACGAAGAAGGAATGATCAACTGCACTCGCACCAGTGATTAGTGCAGATCGACTATCTCAACAGAGCTTTATCGGATAAGGGATAAACCTTCTGGCGCTGATCAATTTCTGAGGGATGCTCAACACATTCGACTTCATCAGGCAGTGCAGAGGTGATTTAATGCATATCTGCCCTGTGTAATGGCATACGAAGGCATAGCGGTATATTAAGCCATATTAAGCTTTTTATGCTCTCGAACAAGTTTGATACTAACTAGCCGCCAAATAGGAGGGATGGAAGGCTTAGCGAACTCGGAGGGCGGCTTTGAAAAAGTGAACCATATAGCACGTCTACTGCAGTGTACCTCTGCCCGCTACGTTCCAGCAGGTTTTGTGACAGCAAAATGTATAGATCAACTTGGACATCATGGCTAAGACCGTTGCCGAGAACAGCATTTAGTGTATTTTCGTTCATTAATGAAAGCTACGTTAGGAATTTTGCTGAAGCAATAGTTACGTGATATTATGATTCTGCAAAAGGAATAGTCGATAATGAACAGGAAATCTAAAGTGCTATAGTTCAGCTCGAACTCGTTCTAATCAAAATAAAGACTACCGGAGTCTACAAATTTTGCCAACAATATACAAAACTGTCTACTTCAATGGCTCAATAGTCTGAAGTTCTAGGAGCAACGAATTCTTTGAAAGTGCTCTCAGCAGCGGCTTGGCTGTTGGAGACTTTTTCTTGGAAGTCGCTGCCAAGGTACTTTGAAAAGTGGTAGTCCATTGGAATGAGGTTCGATGACTGCCAGCACGATGTAGAGTTATGAAGGTGAAGTTATTTAGCTTCTGCAGCGCTGTTCACGTAGCATTTGATTGAGCGTTGTCCTGCAAGAGTGTTGGGCCCTTGCAGCTGACCACGTCTGGATGTCTACACCGAAATTTGGGTTTCATCAGTTTCGTGACAGTGCTCCTTTGCAGTGATCGATTGCTTCTTTCAGGATTCAAAAACTTTTAGCTGAATAATATAGCGACAAACAACCAAACAATCACCGTAACCGTCTTTAGTGGAATTTCAGTTTTTAGGAACTGAACATTTTTTGTGCGCTTCATCTCGTATGAACCACTCCGTTGAACATGGTAGGTTTGTATCCAGTTTTCACGGCAGTTCACAACGCTGTCGAGAAATCAGTCGTTTTCATTGCGTAAATGAAGCTCAGAGCAGAATCCACTTCTTTGTTTTCCATAAAATCGTTTCTCACCATCTGCTGATCTTTTTCAATTTTCCAATATCTTTTAGAAAACGAGCAATTGGTGAGTGGGAGACATGGAGCTCTTTTTCGATTCAGTTATCGCCCTCAGGTTGTTGTCGTCATTTGCTGATGGGTTTACAGAACCTTTTTCCTCTTTTCTATATCAAAAATCTTCAGATTCTGCTTGAACTGTCACAGCGGCCATGTTTGGTAAAATCGTCTCAAAAAGGCACGGTTTCCTTCAGACTTCGTATGAGATGCCAGTGAAGTCAGTGGGAAGGGTATGCGTGGTTTTATTTGGATCTATTTCTTAGATATCTTTTTTCGCTTTTTTACTTACTTTTGCTGCACCTTCTACAGGGATCGTAGGACGAAGTCCTTGCTTTTGTGTGTAGATAGGCCTGAATGATGCAGAGGCTCGTCAGTTACTTATAGAAGAAATTTCGACCCGTGTAATTGTAGACAAATGAAGTGGGGAGGGCTTGCAAAGAAAGTTCCTATTCATTTTAATTCCCTCTTTTGTTTTTAGTTGTTGATGGCTATCGCAACTGGACACCTCAATCTGATTGGGAACCCATCAAAGTAACCAGTGGAAAACGGGAAAGATTCTCTAAGCATTGTTCATTTTAACCTGTGCTGGTTTTCTTTGACAGAAGAACGGTCACAGCTGCAATCTGAAGTTCTGCAAATGGCAATTAGGTAAGACCGTCTTGAAGTGAACAACAGAAAAACAATGGTTACCGAGAAAACTCAAAATACGAACCTGTATTGAAATGTGCGGTTGGACTAAACTGAGTTTGTATACACCTCAGGGTAAACAGCAATCGAGCTCCATTAAAAACAAGTAGACAAAGTGATAGTGATAAGTTGAAATATATGGATGAAAAACGAAATAAGCACAAAGGTGAAAAAATACTGGGAAGGAGATTTCAATAACGTACACATTGTGCAGAATTGACCAATGTGCTTCTCGGTGACCGCATCGCATCTGAAAAGCAAACAAAGAACGAATCAGTGGATAAGAGACGGGAAATTTATAAGCGAATGTTATCTAAAAGCTACTTAGACCAAATTTAGGGAAGAGCAGCAACGAAACTACGAATGAAACATTGGAAAGTCGAGGCGAATAAAAACATTTCGGCGGCCGTATGCTATTCGCGATATAATCACTGAGAATGTGAACGACGTCCGTATGTAGGGCAAGCTAGACAGGAGAGTGAAACCTATTGAGACAACGGCCAGAGGTCTGGATCGCCGACCGTGGCGATCCATCATGGGGCCCGAGGCTTTCTGGCGACTCAGTCTCTGAGGGCTCTGTGATAGTCTGCTGCGTGAGTGCCGGGCTGACAAGAAAGCTCGAGTGTCAACGAGAACCTTGTTTAGTGATCGCCGCTACTCTCTCAACGATGGACTATGTAGTCTTCGGAAGAGCCAGCGAGGAACCTTGTTTCCATAAGTGAAATATATAGCGGCTTTAGATAACCTGTAACTATTTCAAACCGTTTTCTGATTTTCAACTAAAGATTGAAATCGCACTTTTTAAAAAGATTGACAACGACTTGACAACGATCTCCGCAATGTTTTCAGCTTGCTTTGCTCGCACAGGAATGCGAAATGCGTTTGCATTCTCGACGGCTTTCGTTCCAAGGAAAACATTAATGAGAACACCAACCAAGTGACTTGGCAAACATCTAGCAATACGAATCAGAAATAGTGAGAGAGCAACGAATCACAGAGAAAAAAGCCATGGAAAATAAAGGCATAACAGAAACTAAAATTGGAATATGGCCAAAACAGTGATAAGTTAAATAATCTGTAACTAAAGGGCGAAGGAAGAAACTTACGACAGCAGAGTTCTACTCGTAGGAATTGGGCAAGGGTTAAAGATTGATGCGGTTAGCTGAACGGCTACTTTGGCTAAAGTAATATTTGGAAAAATTCTGAGGTAAATTCCCGTCACTTCCGTTCAGCAGAAACCATCATGTGACACTGGAAAAGAATTCTAGAAAAGAAGACAAGGTCACCAAAAAAACACGTTTAAGAGCGCAGACAGTAACACGAGCAATAAAATATACATTAGTTTTTTTTCCGTTTAAAGGCGAACAAGCAGTGCCTGAAATTATGTTGCGGAGCAAGTTTGTCATTAATATGAAGCTATGACCGAGTGATGTGAAACCGTTTCCGAACAATATATTTCCTACTGTTAAATGAAAGGAGAAGAATTATTTAAGCCGTCAGAGCAAAGAGCGCTTGATTTGGTAGGATTTGCAACACTTATCGTGACGAGACCAGAAGGAACCCGAGAGCGCTTTAGTGACGATCATAGAAAGTTTGTGAAATAGTACATGGCTTCAGCGAAAGCAAAAAGTGTTCTGCAGATAGCCAGTGACGAAATGATGCAGTGGCCTTCGTCGTGGCTCTGGCTCGTGGATCTGCTGACAGAAACCGGTATCGCTTCTAGTCAGTGCGCGCGTTAGACAATGCAATGCTCTCAACTTCGCAAGCGACGAATGATGAAATGTTTTTTGTATGATAGATGAATTCATCAAAACTGTTCATTCTATCCATCCTGAGATTTGAATCTATAGTTTCACAGTTGAGTTATCTCCACCATTTGATCTGAATGAACCGTGCACTCACAGTATTCCATCATCACCAGCTGATACGATCAGTGTGGGAGGACGTTCGACACCTAGCAAACAAAAAATGACTTTCCCGTTTTTTTACGGCAAATAAATTCGCGGTGAGCCAACTTCTCCGTTCAGATGATAATAATAATTACCACATTGATAACAACAAAGGGCTGTAGCATCAAATGAATCATAACCATTTAATGCAAATGGTGAGTGATAATAACCGGAATATCCCCATTAAAACCTCTACCTTTTGTCAAACACTGGCTCTTCAGCAACGAAATGTAGCGTTTAGACCGGCCGAACAGAGAGGATTACGACCTTCTTCATCTGAAAAGTTTACAGCCCAATCACTCTGCATATGATGTTAATGATTAAAAACAATAAGAATAGTAATAGTGATAAGAGTATGATGATGACTGGATAAGGAAGAATAGAAAATTCGCTGCCACAAAAGGAAAAAAAATTCAGTTGCTTCACAGGAAATGTTTTTCCTTTCAAGATTACCAGATGAACAATTGCGAACATAAATCAAACTGGATGGTTGCAAGCAACGAAAGTACCCTTACTAAGTTATAAAATCAAGATGTACTCGAATGAATGTACGGCTTGGCGCATTGGGGTAGAAAAAGTGACGCAGTGGGCTCATTCTCGAACGAGTTCCGCCTGTACTTCGACGTCTCAGCAGGAACAAGAGAAAGCGCTGAACGAGAAACCATCCAGCAAACATTCCACACATGCGGACCTTGGGTCTTGGATCGTCTCCAGTTGCAGTGTACACCAGAGCTGCAGTTGCGCAGAGCGGACCACGTCATCTGCTGGCTCGACAGATTCTGCGAGGAAGCGGATCTCGACATTTGATTCGATCTTATGGATAGTGATTTAACATGTATTTAAATTGTTGAGCTTACAAGTGGTTGATAAATGGATTTATTCGACTAACGTTTTGACGTCTTTGTTTTCGTCAGAGCCAGTGAACCTAGTCAATGGTCCATAGTTGACCGTCTTCTCGATGTGGCATCTTCGTCTTGAGTCGGATCTTCCCCAGTGGAGCACCTCTAAATTGAGGCATACTTACCCAGAGATGTTCTTTTATACAGGGCGGTTGTTGTTGATATGACTATCCGTTGATAACAATTTGGTTTTCAACGGACGATCCACCTTGCAGCTGTGTCAAATGAGGCGAACCGAGTCTCTATGAAGACGAAGTCACCAAATCGAGAAGACGAACGATTGTGGACCATCGACTCGGATCATCGGCTCTGGTGAAGACGAAAACGGCGAAACAGTAGCCGATTAAAACTAATTTACCAACCTCGTTTAAGCCCAACAATTTAAACACATGTTAATTATTTTACTACCGAGATTAAACGACGGTCGGTTTCAAAATTCGTGGTGATTTGAGAGAAAATTAAGAGATAAGGAAACATAAACTTACTTAACTGTTTTTTTACATTCGCTGACACAGCAATGAAGTAAATTATAGGCTCCAATGTTTTACTTCGTCTTATTTCCTCTCCATTCGTTTGAAAAACGCTGCCGGAAAAAAATTTAGAAACGGTGATGAAAAGGTGGAAGGGTGTCATACCAGTAAGATTTCATATAATCAAATAGTTCAATATAGAGAATAGGGAATGTTATCGTGGGAAAAAATCCAATGTAGTCAGTGTTCGGGTACCTCTGACAGAAGTGCTGGGTGCAGTTCGCAAACAACTTATTCTTTCATTAACAAAGCACATGACGTTGAGTTTTCGAGACAACGGTCTGCGACTGAATGCAGCATGTACAAGTATATACCTTGAATATAATAGCCAGGTATATATTGGGAAGCATAATGAACACGAATTTAAAGCAGTCACGTCCTTCCAGCGACGGAATGGACTAAAGCAGTTAAGACTTGTCAAAAAACTGGTTTTCAAACGGGCTACACAGAAAGGCCTTGGCGGCGATGGAAGACTACCACTGATTGGAAGGAAGGCTAAGGAGAGAAGAGGCACGGCATTAGGGAACTGTTTTGGAAAGTGATCTTGTCTGCATAGATATCGTAACACTGCGGACTGCGGAAATGTACTGTATAATCTGCCCAGTTTCGACAATAAGCCAAAGCGTCCATGAAGAGAAACTTATTGATGTACTCTGTCACTCTATCACCAGTGTTACCTAGCAAAGCACGATGACTTGAGGAAAAAAATCTAATATGTTTAGCATTTTAGAAAACGCTAATGCATATTCCAGCTCCTGAGCAGTGTTATTTAAAGCACATGGAATCTCGAAATCCCACAAGGTCCTGATTTATTCCCCCTTCTTCTTACATCAACTCTGTTTAATTTTTCTCGTTTAATCTGATCAGTTGAAAAGCAAAAACTCCTCGTTATGGGTAGAATAGACGCTGGCTTTTAAAGATTCCTTGGGGCAAGCAGCAGTGCCTCTTTATTCAGAATTTGAAGACGGAGAGAAAGTAAACACCGAACAGCAGATTTCACTTGAAAGCAAAAGGACAACTGAAGATTACTGAGCCATATTTAAATAACGTCAAGGTACGATTTAGAACTGCATGAATACACTATGCTGATTATTTTAGTGTGAATGTACGGGTCATGCAGGACAGCAGTAGTGATCCCGTTCAACCCTCATACGGTCCAACCTACGTTTGACCACTATCCGGCAATCCCTCTTTTCCACCTAGACAGCTAGCACAGCTATATCAAAATTTTAAGGAAAATCGACTCGATCAGCAATCAGCGGCAATCATGAAGAAGAGAAACCCTCAATCAAATCGGGCCCATGCTCAGAGAAGTTCGAAGATTCTCGTGGATGGAGGATGGACGAATCGAAAAGTTCTGGATTCCTCGCAAAGTGATGCATGTGATATCGGTTTATCTAATAATAATAATAATAATAATAATAATAATAATAATAATAATGTTTAACGTTTTGTTTTCTGCCTTCTATAATTTTCATGGCAGGTTACTAAGCGAAATACAACCACAACGTTGCTGAGATATTTGCAAAACTCTGGACAGCAGGTGTCTATGGTGGGGAACGA